TCCAGGCCAGGCTACAAATATGACTCACATTCAAGTTCTTTCCTCTCTAAAAACTACAAAATCTGGGCCGGCCCGGTGGCGCACTCGGTAGAGGGCGGCGCTTGGGAGCGCGGTGGCGCTCCCGCCGAGGGTTTGGATCCCATATAGAGGCCGGTCTGCTCACTGGTTGAGCGCGGTGCGGGCGCGACACTGAGGGTTGCGATCCCATTGCCGGTCGTGGTACGGGTGCGACACCGAGGGTTGCGATCCCGTTACCAGCCACGAAAAAAGACAAAAAGGAAAAAAAATAAAAAATAAAAATAAAAACTACAAAATCTGAAGGACAAAAATGAATAGCAATTTATTAGGGATGGACTTTAAGAGAGGAAGTAGAAACAGGAGAAAAACTTAAGTATACTAAATCCCTTAACTTATCTAGTATCTTTAAGGAATGAGTAGTTTCTATTAAATCAAAATTCCAGAAAACTTAGCTCAACTCTTTAAGCTTTAAAGGCTTGATGATCACAACTGAGGGAGAGAACTTTCTCAAACAGGTTAGGTGACATCCTTGTTCACAAGATACTGCACATAACCAACCTTTTCTTGATGACACTGGGGTGCTATATTCTGACTATCAGTTACAGCATGATAGCCTATTATAATACTGATGCCCGTAGGGGCTATTCGGAAGCAGAAGTTTTTTCCACAACAGGAAAAATCCTTTTCTTAAATCTTGTCTTTTCTTGGGTTTTTGCATCTTTCCTTGCAAGACAGCAGCGTATTTCAAAATTCTTAGATGATATATTTCTTAGTGGAGCCTCTTCAGTTGAACTGTGGAGCTTTCTTCAACTCAAGATGTAATGAGATGTGGTATAATAAAAGACAAAAATATATATGGCTAGTGCTATAGGCATAACATAGGAATATTTTCTAAGTTCCCCCACCCAGCACATGTAAACACTGTAAGTGGCACAATGAAAAAGCTTGTGATTGGAATGGCTGAAGGAAAAGCACTCCTCTTTAAGGAGCAGCTGGTCTGTTGGGATAAATGGAACATGTCTGAACATGCCAAATTACATGGTTTTTTATTCCCTCCTTGCAGGGAGGAAATCACCAATATAAATCATAGCTTTCAAACACAGTATTTATCTTCTAAAAATAAACAGAGTTGTGAAGAATTATGTACTAAGATTATATAAAACATTAAGAATATGCTTTTGACTAGATTATATTTTAGTTGTTTAAAGAATAATCTTAGCAAACTACCATCACTACCAATAAACACATATTGAGGACAAGTAAGATATAGGGCTAAATGTACTCTAAAGAAAGGGGTTTAAATCATGGTTTTTATTCTCAAAGAGCTTACTTTATTCAACTGAATAGATAAGACACACTGTAAGCAAAACAAAAGATAGGTGTCAAAATATGGGTTTAAATTAAGTAATGTAGGAATTCAGTAGGATTTTGTAGTTTACGAGATGGATCAAGTTCAAGGTTCAAATGGATTTATCAAGGTCACTTTCTCAGCTTTGAGTAGACTTTAGTGGATGTTAGCAACCCAAAGAAAATCATAAGCAAAATGAATAGTGTAGCTGTAAGTTAATGTTTTGGTTTCTGAATGTAGGACCCTATATTTGGCCATGTGATCTTTAGGAAGTCCATTAGTTGCTCTGAGGCCTCTTATCTGTAACATGGCGTTTTTAATTCTGTCTTGGTCACAGAATTGTTAAAAGGTATAAATAAGACTGTATTTTCTTCTATCCTGCACAATACCATGTATTTTTGTTAAGGGGTAAGTTTGAGTTTTGAAGTAATATTCCTTTTAATTTTAACAAAAAGTTATAAGTAAAGAACAAACTACAGTTACTAACAAAAGTAATCAGCCCCATTTTTTGGCAAATATAAAAGTTATTAAATGTGTGATTATTAAACTTGATATGATACATGATTGAAATTACTATTACTTTTACAAATTCAAACGGGAGATTTTAGTTTGCCTTGTTAAAATCACTGTCATGTTTCTGATGTGGCAAATATAAAAGTTATTAAATGTGTGATTATTAAACTTGATATGATACATGATTGAAATTACTATTACCTTTACAAATTCAAACGGGAGATTTTAGTTTGCCTTGTTAAAATCACTGTCATGTTTCTGATGTATTTTGCATCACACATGGATACCCTCAATAGGCAAGGGCAATAAGAACAAAATTCAGAATACTGGGTAATCTATGCTTTATAAAAGAAAGCAGGGATGGGTGGGCTGGAATAGGGATAATGGTAGAGGAGAGAGCTGGGTCAACTCTTAAAGTGTGACAATAATACATCCAGGCCCTGCCTTGACCCACCAACTCAATTGCTGGGGTGGAAAAAGGAATCTTCATTTTAAATGCCTGGATCTGCATTTAAACTCCTGTGCACTCTCAGCTTTGAGACTACAGTGCTCTAGTACAGAACCCCAAATGCCCCCATATTGTTTTTATTTTATCAAATCAGGAGCCTACAGAATACTTCACCCTTCACCCCAATTCTCTCAAGCATCTCTGGATCGCCCTGGAGTTTGTGAGGTCTATTTATTTCAGACTCATCCTTGAAGGCAGAGTATAAAGGGAAGTAAGTCCAAGATGGAAAGGTAGAATTCAGGTAGGAATCACCCTGAAAAAGAAATACCTGTTCTCTGGTTCGCCCCTCTCTCCCTTTGAACACCTAAGGGCAGACACTCAGGAATCCAAACCTCCTCCCTTTCCAAGGAGGCTGGGTAGCCTGAAGACCAAACCTACTTCACAACGCAGACTAAGGCTACCCTGTCTGCCAGTGCTGCAGGACAAATAACCTCCAGTGGAATGGTATTTCTCCCCCAACTCAGTTAACTATTAATATTATCTGTTACATAAGCCCCTTGGATAAAAAACAAAGATTGAGGGGGAAATATTATTAAAAGAGACTTAACATGAATAGTTTTCCTTTACACGTGGCATAACACATACAAAGTTTGCTAAGTATTTTAAATACTGAATATATGCCTACCCTGTCCCTCCTCTCCAACTATAACCCTTGCAGAAAATCATCAAGATGCTGTTTAAAATATAACACCAAATAACTACTGAAATAAAAATGGTATCTAGGCCGGAGTTCACAAACTAGCAGGCCTGCAGAGTGATTTTGCCCAAAAAGAGGTTATATTTAATCTGCAAAGTGTTGTTGTTTTTAATTGGAATTAATTGCCACTTTAAAAAAAAATCTGGTCCCGGTCTGGTACGGGCGCGACACTGAGGGTTGCGATCCGTTGCCAGACACGAAAAAAGACAAAAAAAATTAAAAATAAATAAATAAATAAATAAATAAATAAAAAATCTGTAATTTTTTTTTTCCTTTTTGTCTTTTTTCGTGTCTGGCAACGGATCGCAACCCTCAGTGTCGCGCCCGCACCGGACCGGGACCGGCAACGGGATCCCAACCCTTGGTGTTGCTCCCACACCTCGCTCAGCCAGTGAGCGGGAACCGGTCTGTATGTGGGATCCGAACCCTCGGTGGGAGCGCCTCTGCACTCCCAAGCGGCGCACTGTAGCAGTGCGCCACCGGGCCGGCCCCTGAAAACATCTGTAATTTTTATATAAAAATCCACATTTCTAAATTCTCTTGAAAAAGTACAAAGTTTGTAAAAAATCTGTAATTTTTATATAAAAATCCACATTTCTAAATTCTCTTGAAAAAGTACAAAGTTTGTTAATATAAGGTAACAATTGTCAAAAATTTAGTGGTAGCTGTCTCCTCCAGATGAACTCCCAGTCGCAAGAGAGGCCTACTCCTGAGCCAGCCCCCCAATCAATGCTCACCCCTTGGGCCCTGTATAGCATGGGTGTGTGGCCCTTGGCCTAACCAAGGGAATAAACACCAACCAGCCATATGACGCATCTCTTTATGGTGACTTTCAGAGCAAAGGGAGGAAGAGGATCAGAACCAAACAAAGGTGCTTTACTTTTTCCCAGCATTTGATCTAGAAATAAAGAAACCTCCAAGTAAATACTGGCAGGCATCTGGGCTGCACCACACATGGAGAAAATATACTCACACATTCTCCCTTCTCCTGTCCTCTTGCCCCTACACCACCCAATGCAGAGCAAGAAAGACAGAAATGAAATATAACGGTAACCATCTTAATGTAATAACCTGCCTACAGTTAGCTCCTCATCCCAGAGAGACTTGAAATAAAAGACAGGCACCCAGAACATCTTACACATAAAGGAAGGCCACAAACATACAAAATTCTAGAATACCAATGAACTTACAAGGCTGGGACTTTTGAGGTCAAGTTTGTTGTGCAGAGCAGGTTCCCTTTGCGCCTCTTTTTGATGAATCAATGACTCTGGACAAGTTACTCCTGATGCCTCAATTTTTTTATTAGGACTGTAAAACTACCTGCAGTCTAACCAGGAGAGTTCTTTCTTAAAATAGATATATAAATATATAATAAATAATATATAAAAATAATATATATAAATAAGGTCCTTAGTTAATCTACTTTTAAAATGTGTTAAAAATCAGATAAGTAATAACACCTCTTGAAACTCAGCAATCTTCCCTAATATGCAAGTAAAATGGTAATAAAGCAATTATGGGCAGAACTATAAACCAAAGTTCAATTCTAGTAAACAGTATCCAGGAAACCTGCCCTCGGTGAAGGTTAACAGATTGTATGGCCTGGGCAAGTCACTCTTGCTGTAGCTCTGTGGGGGGGGGCGGGGGGGGCGGGGTTAGTACCAATGATCTCTCCCTTACCTACTTCATAAGGATGTCGCAATGTCTGTAAACCACGGGGAGTACCTCAGGAACAGGGTGGCATAGCAATAGGTCATATTCACGTCATTGTTAGACTTACCTCATAAGGGGCCTCTGTGGAATGAGAGTTTCATAGGTACCTGGGAAATATGACAGATGGCTTCCCCTCCCCCACTGAAGACAGGAGAGGGGTGATGGAGACAGTGAAGGAAGCCGGATCTGTTGTTGGCACCCACCTCTGTTCTGATGGATACTGGTTTTCAGGCATCATCTTTGGCATGTGCAGGGGCTGATGTGGTGGTCGGGGCACTGCAAACGTTTGCTGTTGTGGTCCAGGTTCTGGAAGTGAATGGGGCACGGGGGCAGGGCCCACACCTTGTACTGGGCCAGCTGCAGGGGTATGTGCTGAGGTGGGCAGAGTTGGCTGAGGTGGGGGAAATAGGGAATTCTGATGGGTGGGTGACAGCGGCGTGGTAGGAGGGGTTAATGGCTTGAACCCAGAGGGAGGCTTCCTATCATAGGCACTGTAAACAGAAAAAGAGAAGGAACCATTAGCTGTGATGAAGCCATTAGCATGGTTACCAGGTCCAGCACAACGCTAGTTTGCAGCCCATTGTTGCCAGGAAATGACAGCATTAACATAGTTAAATTGCCAGCAGCCCTGAGGGAATATTTGTACCTCTGAAAAGTGACAAACACACTGCGTCACAGGGACTTGTTTAACACTTCTAGTGATTTTTCTCAAAGATAATTTTAGCCTCTGCTTCCGGTTTCCTTTTCGCCCTTTTCTAAAAGAATTCTCCTGTATGCATATGTAGGTGTGGATGGTCCCCTCTCTCAAGTATTCCAGGGTTCCCAGGAATTAGCCAGAATCCTTGTAAATTTCTGCTGTAACATCACTTGAATGAACAACCCTTCTCCTCCCCCGTTCAGGCATATCTGTGTTTATCTTCTAGAGCAAAGAATGATTTAAAATTAAAGCTTCATTCCTGAGGCCTGGATATTCTTAAGTAAAGGGCATAAGAATTGAAACTTTTTTGTGTATTCTGATTTGAAGATTACTTCTTTGGTGCTTAAAGTTCACATTAACATAGGATAGACATGAAGAAAAATATATTACCTGCTTCGAAGCCACAGATCAAATATCCCAGCATTCAAGGCTCTTTCCCTAGAAGGGCTCAGTACCATAGGAACTTAGCTCCCTGCAGAGCCACAACACTAACACTGGGCTACAACTCAAGGGTTACATAGTCAGGAAAGAAGTGTTTGCTTTACTCCAAAGCTCTGCTGAATAATACCTGGAACACTTGGTTTGATGTCTATTCCCAGAGCCTTTCTGGGCAGCCTTTCTGTGGTTCCACTTACCAATAGTTGTAGAGGCACTTTTCTCCATAGTTAGCACCAAGAGCCTGCTCATGGCTGCAGGAGGACAGCTCAGAGGAGGGGCTGTGCAGCTCCCGTTTGATCTTGGTTGGAGGTGGGGCATGAAGCACCACTGAATCAAAAGAGGGATGAGGGAGGCACAGAGAGAGGACAGCCGATTAGCAGGGAGCACAATGATTCCTTCTGCAAACCTTGCAACTAGCTAATTGTTCTTGGAAATCATGTCAAGTCTCACATCAGAGAAAGCAAAATACTTAAACATATAACCTTCCACCTAAAGCCAATTAAAAGTTCTTTAAAGTTAGAAATCGTCGTCTCATACTTTTAATTAGTCACGTCTTTCTTTCCCAAATTTCTTTGGTCATGGGTCTTACTTCCCAGAGGCTCTGAAACCCTTAAAAATCCTGTATGTGGGGCCGGCCCGGTGGCGCACTGCTACAGTGCGCCGCTTGGGAGTGCGGCGGTGCTCCCGCCGAGGGTTCGGATCCCACATACAGACGGCCGCTCACTGGCTGAGCGAGGTGTGGGCGCAACACTGAGGGTTGCGATCTCGTTGCCGGTCCCGGTCCGGTACGGGCGCAACACTGAGGGTTGCAATCCGTTACCGGTCACGAAAAAAGACAAAAAGGAAAAAAAAAAAAAATCCTGTATGTGATGGGTCTTCAGGAAAAATACAGGTGGTAGTAGAATACCAAGAGTTGCAGACATGAAGAATTTTGTTTCCAAAGAGGACAAAACAGCCAAAAATATGTTGGTAGACATTACACATTAGCTTATCAAAAGCTTTAAATTGCTGTAGCAAATACATTTCTTATTCAGAGGTATATTTACAAATTAAACATGATTTTTTAAAAGTCCATCCTCAAGTGACTCTAAATAATCAGCTGTGAGTAAGAAATACTCAACTTTAGGGGCATTACAAATTTTTTTTAAAGCAAAGGAATGAAACAACAGACTGGCCCACTCCCTAGGAAAGGCTAACTGCATACAGGAGAAGTCCTGGCAACCTCTGTGCCCACAACATCTGCTCTAGGCCTGCCCTGGTGAACAACTAGTGAGGGCAGGTTTTCATAACCAGTGCTTTCGTAGATGGTGCCAATGACTTTTCCTGAAGTCATGAAATAAGTACATGGAGCTGCTGCTTTATGTTGGAAGCCAGCTACATATTCCATATATGGTTCTGAGAGGGCAAAGTAACAAGAATCTTTCACATCAAGGCGGCTTACACACAGAGGCCAACAAAACCCAAAGAATGAAAAACCAGGTTTGCCTTTTCTGTCTTACTAGGAGCTAAATTGTTTCAGAGAGGGCATTTTGCCTAAAGGAGAAGGACAAACTCTAAAGATGCTGTACGATGAGGGCTGTCTTCTTCTAGTTCTGAGTTAGAATAGCTACTGCCTATCCAGTGGCCTTGGAAGGTGGGAGAGGAGAATGTGCAAAGCTTCTGTGCTGGCCACTTTCCACAGCATCAAAGGTCTCGTTAAATAGCTAACCACAGCCAGTACCCTGGTGACCCACTAAAATGTTCTGTCTGACTCAATGTTTACTCCTAAAACACTTTCAGGTGCTTTTTAAATTCTGAGTGATTATACTAGCTAGCATGAGCTGAATGATCACCCTTTTTCTGTATGATAAGACTAAACAACCTTCTGGCCAGCTGGTTTCTCAGGTGCCTCCTACAACCCCAAATTCTGGGCTCAGGAGTGAACACATGAGACAATGACTCTAACACAGATGACAAGGTTATAAAGCAATGTCACTGTAAAATCTTGCCAGTGACTGACTAGAAAAGACAGGTTTTCATAATTCCTTTCTTACATAACTCCAACTGCTTTTCCTGAGTACATGAAATAAATTGAGAACTAGCAGATTATATTTAGAAGTCATTAGCGTCTCTTGTGATTTTTTGATGGTGACATCAATGGCAACCAACACTCAATTGTTATTAAATGTTTTCAGACATTCAGACACAGAAACTAGCTTAGCTTGTTATTGTTTGAATGTCGTTAGTAAATGAGAAGAGAGTCAGAGGATGTGACATGGAAAACCATCCCTCCAGTGCAGGCCTTCCTTGCACTGGTCTTCTGCCGTAAAAGTTCCGGCAAAATAATAATGAGAGGTAATGATGCCCCGATTTAAACAAAAGTTACAAGTCCTTGAAAAATCTACTTTTCTTACTTTATGTAAAGGTGATCATTTATAATCAGGGCTTTCCCTAAGTCTGGAAAGTAAAAACAATTATGGTATAATTCAGTTTTATCATTTCGAGGTTGTAGAAATGTCTTGACATTTTTACAATATTATTATAAAAGTTATCAGTTCCACTGACAAGACTAACACACACTAAAGGGTAAACTAAAGTTGCCCAGAAAGAAGAATTTTATAATGGTTCCAGGAATAGGATATATCCATTTAAAAAGAGAACCTAAACTGCCAGCTAATTTTGACATCTTTGTTTTTTCAAAGCTAGACAGTACTATTAGTGGGTTGCTCTAAATTATATAGTATCTTCTACCCCCAAATTGTCTTAAATGTGAAAATTTAAGTTCTCTATACAAAAGGGAAGTTCAAAAAATATTTGATCAGTAAATAAACGGATTATATTTTCAACTGGCTTTTAACATTGAAGGCAGAGACCACATCTACCCTACAACGCTGGGTACAATGTTAATCATAAATACATTTTCCCCCAGAAATCAACCATTTGAGGAGGAGAAGAATATGAAACACTGCAGAAACAAGAATGGAAGCTTTCACAGATCTACACCGACAGGAAAGCCATTAGGGGCTCTGAGGAAGGGTCAGCTCCCCAAAGGTCTGCTGGACTAGAGAATGTGTGAAGGAGCCTGATCATGGCATGCATTAGTCAGAGGTAGTGATTTATTTAAAGCAGGAACTCAGATGCCCAAGGAATGCTCCTTGTTTCCGTCTGTTTCCTCATTTGTAAAATGAGGTATGTGACACTGTCTTAAGAAATAAAGAAAATGGCACAGCACCTTGCAGATGGTGCTATGATATTGTGTAATTATACCCTGTGCTTTCAAAAATAGAGTATTTACCTTTGCACAGCCAACTTACTAAATGATGATAGAGACCCAAGACTATAAAGAATGGCAATAAATTGGAATTGAAAAAAGACCATAAATTCTTGAGGGAGTGGAAAAGAAATGCCAAAAAAGTCGACTATTTGAGCTGACAAACACCTTCAAGAATTAGAAACTGAATTTAAGCTCAGTGTTATAGAAGATGGGTCCACAAAGTCAGTGATGCCCTGATGATGATTCTTGATTAATATGGACCATCTTCTTTGTCATAAAGATCCCTCTGTCTCTCCCTCCCTCCATTCCTTCCTACCTTTTTTCTTTCCTTCTTTCTCCGAGTATCCTCTACAGGCCAAGCATTCTGGAGGCGCTGGTGGTATGATGCTAAGCAAAACAGACATGGTCCTTTCCCCATTGGCATGCATAATTTAGTGAGGGATCTGACTATTAGCATCTTCTCATATATGCAGTTAGAGATAGACTTGGGCCTCAGTACACTTAATTCAAGACCTTACACTTATAGGTAAGGACCCTGAGGCCCAAAGGAATTGCTCAGGGTCTCAGAGCCGCTGCTATGAGAGGGGAGGGGCGTCAAGGGCTCCCCACTGTCATTTTGGCAATCTTCTACCACATGGATAGAAATGGGAGATATTCCACTCCACTCATCTACTTTGTACATTAAAAATAGAAGACATAATTTTTTTTTTTAACTAAAACAACAAAAATATCACATTACACCTGGTTGAGAGAAAGTGCCCTAGAACAAAGGAAAAAAATGGATGAGAAGAACTAATACCTCTGGAAAAGAACAAGGAAGACAGACCAAGAAAGATGCAGCCAGACAGATCCCTTACCATTTACTTCGTGCCAAGTTGCTCTTACGTATCTTATTTCATTCAAACTTCCCAACCCAATGAGAAAGCTGCTCCCATTGTCTCCATTTTATAAATGGGAAAACAAGGGTCAAAGTAACTTGCTATAGTCTCACAGCTAGTAAGTGGCCAGGATTCCTACCTAAGCAGTTCGGAGTCATTCCATTATATCGTCTCCCAGAGGGAATCTGAGAGAAAAAAGGCTAAATCAAAAAGGCATTATAAGATATAGGGAAAGAATTGGAGAAGGAAGACAATGCAGGAGCAGACAACGGAAGAATAGTTTTTGCCAAGTCTCAGAGCTGTATCCTCACGTGTACTCTACTTTCTCCAGCGGAAGACACACCTCATATACCTAAATCCACGCAACGACTTAAACCTTCCCCTATTTCTAGGACACTGCTCGGGATCTCTCTTTCACCCCTACAGAAAGCTAACATCTCTGACTACAGCAGCCTTCACTTTTTGCATTTCTTGCCTCCCATTCTAGTGTTGCACCTAAAAGGTCTCATTCCCCTTCTATATTCCAGCTGATCAATATCCTCTGCTCACTTAGACAGTTGCAAGCACTCTGGAAGACTGGTATCTTCTACAGCCAGTCACTGACTCCACATTGTTGCCATGAATACCCCATCTCTCTCCCCAGAAGCCCTGCCCCTCCTTAAAATAACTTCTGGACAATCCTCCCTTGCTACCACCTCTGAGGCAGGAACACTTTGAGTGAGCTGTCTGGATTCCTATTTGACTGCAAGAACTCTGTCAGGGATACATGCAGAAATATACACAAGCATCTTGCTTGTCAAGAGTAGGAAAGAAAAAGGTGTTAGCTTATAAGATTTAATTAAGTTCCTATCTGTGGGTATGCACTACAAAGTACAATGTATTGCTTTGTATATCACCATAACACCATTTTAAATTTAGATATGATGTTCATGTCAACCAACTTAACTTCACAGTTGCTTTTCTTACTAAACTAGGGAACTCCTTAGAAGATATTTCCATCTGACACAGGAATCAAAAATCAGGCCTGGGCCTACCCAATGCTATAAGGCAGGAAAAATATATGCATAGCATATGGATTAGAAAGGAAGAAATGTAACTGTCATTATTCACAGATGGTCTGATTGGGTATATAGAAAATATAAGAGTATCCACGAAATATAAGAAACAATAGGCTAATTTAGCAAGGTCACTGGATA